AATGAAAATCCCTATTTGTGTATTTCACCAATATCTAATAATTAGCCTGCTGAAAACTGGTTTTATCTTCATACTCTTAGAACAGTAATTTCCCTTGGCTTCTGCCATACCGTATTTTCCAGATTTTTCTTCTCTAGCCATCTCTTCTTAGACTCCTCTGCCAGCTTATCGCCTTGTACCCAGACTCTGATGTCCTAAAAGAAAACACTCTGGTGTTCTAAAGGGAAAGCTTAGTGGTTTTCTTTACTTCTTATGCTGGTCCCTGGTGCCCATGCTTCATCACTGCTACAACTGCAACCTATAAGTAAGTAAACTACTTCCTATTTCTAGCGCAGACCTCTGCTCTGAGTTCTACATCCCTATATCTAACTGCCTACTAACATCACCATGTGAGGACAAAGGAAGCACTCAATAGATCCAAAACTAGATTCATGACCTTCCTCCAGTCCTAGTCACCCAGTATTTTACTGTTAGTGAATGGCACCACCACCCACAGCTGCATGAAGCAGAATTTTAGAAGTTAACCTTAATGATCTTCCTCTCCCTCCCCAACCAAATCTAATCAACCCTATAGATTTCACCTGAAGTGTCTCTCCAATACACTGACTTATCTCGACCTCCACCAATCTAATTTCTTATTCTAAGTATTCTAAGTAGCCACAAAATTCTACTTTACAATACCTACATATGATTTCTTTCCCATCCTTCTTCTCTAACCAAGCCATGTATTTTTTTCTCTCTCAAAACACCTCTTGAAAACCTTCCCTCATTAATTCCACCCAATATCACTCCTTACTGAAAAAAATTCATAGTCATGGTTTATTCAGCTTAATAATCTATCTTTGACCCTGACACCAACAGAACATATGATGCTTTCCTCCCAGACAACATCCTCAAAAATGTGCCATTACCCAAATACACTAGTCATTTCCTTTAATAATGCATCAAGCACTGAATCTGTGAATATATACATGGTACATGCTTTACATCTTTTATAAACATGTACATATTTTTAAGCCTTTTCTATAAGTTTATACATTTCACAAGATTAAAATCAACCACATAAAACTGAACTTCCTTTGTTTTGAATCTACCTTTTTTAAGCATTAGGATAATCCTCTCATTTTAGTATTCTCAGATTTGGCAAACAAACTGATAGTTTTCTCACCTCAATCAATTGTGATTTTAAAAGATCTACAAAAGTAGATATAGTATGGCGCGGTGGCTCAAGCCTGTAATCCGAGCACTTTGGGAGGCCGAGGTGAGGGGATCACCTGAGGTCAGTAGTTTGAGACCAGCCTGGCCAACACGGTGAAACCCTGTCTCTACTAAAAATACAAAATTAGCCTGGAATGGTGGCATGTGCCTGTAATCCCAGCTACTTGGGAGGCTGAGGCAGGAGAATCGCTTGAACCTGAGAGGTGGAGTGAGCCAAGATTGTGCCATTGCACTCCAGCCTGGGCAACAAGAGTGAAACTCCATCTCAAAAAAAAAAAAAAGTAAATACACTATGATTATGTCCTTACACTCTGCATATCAGGTCCATAATGGTCCATATAGGGTCCAGTATGATCCAGCTGTATTCATATTTGTATTCTGAGTTTCCATAATAATGTCTCACAGAGAGAAGGTGCTCAATACATGTTTAACAGAATTAAAGGAATTAGGCTTAGGACTGATACTGTAAACTTCATGAATACCAAAATAAAAGAGAGAGAGAGAACTTCTCAAATATGTTAACTCTGCTTATTTTGGGCTAAAAAGGGTAGAGAGAATGGCCAGCATAACTGAGGAGACTGTGACAGAGCACCTAGCTGCTTTAAATGAAGTCAAGCTTTTCGTGAATGAGAGCACTGAGCTGCTGCCAGTGGAGGAAGTGTGGAAACCGGAGGGTTGCCAAAGACTGGAAAAGAACAAATAACTGTAGTTCTGATTTTTTAAAAAACAGAAACAACTGCCAACGACAGTCCAGTATACTTGACGTCAATCCTTTTCTAAATTCAGATTATTTATTTAAAACAGTTTCTAACCATTTAGAAAAGAAAATGGTAACCATTTGTGAAATCAACCTGAGTTTTACCAGATTAATCTAATTTCTTCTTTTTTTTTTTTTTTTTTTTTTTAACAAGTGTATGTATAGACAGGTCACAGATCAAAAAGAGGCAGTAAAAACATGTGTTGGTAGGATTTCAACAAAGCATTTGACCAGGTTTCCATTACACCCATATACAAGATAAATAGAAGATGGATAACAGTGCAACTAGGTGGCTAGGTAATTGTTTCAACAATCCTAACAAGTGCTCATTAATGAACTGCTATCAACCTGAAGGGCGATTCTACCAGCAAGCTTCAGGACTCTATCTGTGGCTTTCTCTTGTTCAACAATTTTATCAATAACTTTAATGAAGATGTACTGTAGTACTGTTGGTATCCAATACATTGATGACATGAACCTAGGAGACAGCTTATAAACATATTAAGAAAATGCCAGGATCTAAAAACATACAGGAAAAAAAAAGCTAATTCTAATAAAATGAAATTTAATAGAAAAAGATATCTAAGGGGTTAGTACCTGTGTCCAAAAATATATATGTCACTGTGAGATGGGCAAACAGTGGCTTGTCACATATGTCCGCATGTTCTCACTCATAGGCGGGTGCTGAACAATGAGAACACATGGACACAGGGAGGGGAGCACTACACACTGGGGTCAGTTGGGGGGAAATAGGGGAGGGACGGTGGGAGGTGGGGAGTTGGGGAGAGACAGCAAGGGGAGAGATGCCAGATGTAGGTGATGGGGAGGAAGGCAGCAAATCACACTGCCACGTGTGTACCTATGCAACAATCTTGCATGTTCTTCACATGTATCCCAAAACCTAAAATGCAATAAAATAAAAAATAAAAATAAATAAAAAAAAAACAGCTCATTGTCTTTGATGGCAAGCTTAGTTCAATCTGACAGCAGCAAGCTCAGTGTGTGATGAAGATATCAGAAAAGCTAATGTGATGCTAGCTGCAGCAGTGGTAGTATCTCAAACATCGGAGGTAACGGTCTTGTTCAACGTTAGAGTGCTGAGACCACAACTGGAATACTGTCTGCCTTTCTAGGGGCCACCGTCTTCAAGGGATCAAAACCACCTTGGCACATGTTCCGAAGACGCTTAGGAGCCTGGATACTATTCCATAAAAGGAAAGGCAGAAGGGAGTGGAAATGTATAAATAGGACAAAGCAATGCCTTAAGAGAAAGATATGATCACTATCTTCATTCAGGCATTCAAGGAACATTATTGTCAAACCTATTTCAGGAAAGACATTGTGAGGATGGCCAGGGATACAGAGAGAAGACAGTCCAAATGTGTGAGAAATTCATATGTGTATTCAGATACGTATATATGAAGAGTTGAAACAACCATGATCTTCAAAAAGGATTCGATTGTTCTATATGATTTCATAAGGCAGAAATAGGAGCAGAAGAAAGAAGTTAGAAAGTAACTAATTTCAGCTCCATATAAGGAAGAGTATTTTAAGAGTCAAGGCTAATGAAGGGAGAAGCTATCTGGGAAGACTGCCAGGTTCCCATCAGTAACGGTTGTACCTAGAGAAGATACTGTCAAAATCAGACAGACAGTAACCTGGACTATCCTGAATATTCCTCACATTCTACACAACGATTCTATGCTTTCCCATGAAATGAATGAAAGTCCAGATTCTTTCTACTTGGGCATTTCAGCATCCCAGGTTTCCTAGAGTTGCTACTTCCAACTCGGTACCCTGTCCCACCCTGAAGCAATGCTTTACATTAATAAACGAGAACAGATCTGAGCACAATAGAAATAATGAGAAACAGGAAGACACTGACCCGTCAGCAGATGGAACACCAAAAATCAATTCTGTTCCATGTGCCTGGAATTTGTGAATTTCTATCCTTTAATTCATAAATTCGATTTAAATATCCATTTATGTTCTACTACTGTAAATAAGGGTTTGTAACATATTGCATTCCTGTTGTCAGCAATTTTTTTCTACTCAACAAAGAAAAAAATCATTTTAACTTAAGATCACTCGGAAAATGTCCTAAATAAGCACTCCAGCACCCTCTATTATAAATTTATGTGGAAACTAACTTTAGAATATTTTTCTTAAAAGGAATGATTCATCCGATATACTCGTCCAAGTACCATTAGCTAATCAAATTGTGGGATTCTAATTAAATGGCTACTTAAGTTTAATCTATTTAAAAATCACAGGCAGGAGGATAAACAGAGAAAAGGTTTAGACCATGCGGGTCTGGCTTTTATAAACTGGTTTAAGGTTATTAAGCTTACTTTCATTCATTTCATTTTGTAATTCTGTAAGTGTCATTTACAGGCTTTAAATACTACATCTGCGTATATAAGGAGCTCGACCTTCCAAACTGTTAATATTAACTTCTTGGAAGCAAATCTTCCCACATTGGCGCTTTTTCTCCATTTGTGTACAATAAATGGGAAACAGTTGGATTTCCAAGGGCTCTTTCTTTTAAATTGCAGCCCAGGAAGACAAAGTGAGCAAGAAGAAGAGGAGCATCTTTAACCAGCAGCCTTGAAAAACAGGCTTCCCCTACTGCTGTCTGCTGGCTCTCCCCATTTCTCAACACACTGCCTGCACGCTTTGGTCAAAAAACAAAAACAAAAACAAAACACACAGAAAGAAAAAAAAAAAAAAAACCAGATTCCCGCTTCCCAGAGGCAGGAAGCTCCCTTTTGTAGAAGTAGCTAAAGAAAGAGGCGCCCCACGGGATTTCATCTCGTCGCCAAGGCAGCGCCAGCCCCAGCTGTCCGGCGCGAGGGAAGCTCGGGCTGGCCCCGAGCCCAGGGCGGCCCCAGCCTGCGGCAGAGCAGCCCCGGCCGAGCCCGGAGCCCCCGCGGCCGCACAGTCCCGGCAGCGACCCCGGACGGCCCGGCGGGCGACACCCCCACCCCGACCGCGGCGGAAGGCGGGAAGACGCGGCTCGACTTACAGTGACACCATCCTAGGTGACAGCACCAGTGCAGCTTGAAGCACTTGCCATGGCTGTGCGTGGCACAGATGGACAGCCCGTCGCACGGCTGGAAGTCGGGTCTGCGGGCGGCGCAACTCCGCGCCAGGGCCTGAGCCTCGTCTAGTTTCTCGCTCTTCCAACCCCGCTCGGGCGCCGGCGAGGCCGCCGCACTCATTTCCTCTCTCCGCGCGGAGCCGACACCGGGAGCCCGGGAGAGGCGACGTCTGGGCGGGCAGGAAGCCGAGTCGGGCGCAGACGCGGGAGGGCGCGGCGCGGGCCGGGAGTCACGCCAGCGCGCGGCGGCGGCGGCGGGAGCGCGGCGGTCCCAGGCTCGAGGAGGAGCCGCCCGGGGCGCTGCGACCGGGGCCGGGCCTGCCGCCTCCTTGCCTCCCTCCCGCCCTCCGCCGCGGCGCGCGCCGCCCGCGCCACACGCGCACACGCACGCGCACAGGCGCGCGCCGGCCGGCCCCGCGCGGCGTTCCTCAGCGAGCCGGGCGTCCTCACACACACCCGGCCGGGGAGCGCGGCCGCGGGCGTCCCCGCCCATCACAGCTAGGTCCTCCTCACACTCCCCCGACGGAGGGCCGTGGGGAGCACACACGCCTCGGCCGCGTTGGACCCGCACGCACGCCGGCCTACAGAGGCGCTTCCGCCCAAGTGGCACCGGCCGCCAGGGACCCACACACGCTCCACGGAGGGCAGCGCACTCCCGGCCCACGCCCACTCGGACCTCCCGCTGGCGCGGGCCCGGCGCAGCGCGGAGCGAGGCTCTCACACACACACACGGCCTCTCCCACGCGCGCCTCACGTCTCCCTGGTACACACCTCTCCGGTCTGGGCACGGAGCCCCCCGGAGGCGCGCACACGCCCGAGCACACGCGCGCACCCCACACACCCCCCGGCCGGCCTCCCCCCTGAGCGCCGCCAGCCCCTGCCCGCCTCGCCCTAAACCGCGGGCCCGCGCGCCCCGGGCCTTCCCGCTCGCGCCCCCACCTCGGCCCCGACTGCAGCCCCTCCCCATTCCCCCCTCCCGCCCCCGTGGAGCGGGAAAGCCACCGAGCTGGGAGCAGTGACGTGTGTGTGTCCGCGTCTGTGTACTTTGGTGTGCATGGGATGTGTGTGTTGCGGGCGTGTGTGTGATTATTTGGGTATGTGGTGGGTATGCGTGTGTGGTGGGTGTGTGGCTAGTGTGCGTTCATGGTGCATGGTGGGCGGTATGCGTGATACCAGTGACTGGTGAGGTGTGTGTATACGTGTGTGTGACATGAAGGTTGTAACTGAAGTGGAATGTGGGCGTTTGTGTGGTTGAGCGTGTGTGGTGTGCGGATACGTGTATGTGTGTAGTTGGGCATGCATGTGCTTGTGCACGTGGTGGGGGTGGGTATGCTTAGTTATACGAGTATTCGGTGTGTGTGTGGTGGATGTGTGGCAGTGCGGCGCGTGTACGTGCATGGTGTATACGGATCAAGTGTGTGTGGTACACGGGGGTGAGTGGGCACACAAACGGGACTCATGTTTGCGGAGGACTCTACCTTTGTGTGTTAGTGCCTGCCCTGGCCGGCCGGTGTGGCCGACCCCGGGGTGACCGCGGCTTCCCCACACAGTCGGATTGCACTCTTCCCTCCTGGGGACAAGTTGCTCCAAATAGATTTTCCATGCCAGGCTCTCCTGCTGAGATCTGACCCCAGGCTGGATTCAGTGAAGAGAAAACAAACCATTTGCTCCCAGGGCGCACTGCTGGGAATGAGCGTTTCCCTGCAAAAAGGCCAGAACCCAGCCTTGAACACAGAAAAGGAGGGGACGCCCCCTCCTTATTTGCCAAACGTTTCACACAGCACAGAAGAAAGCTTGTTCAAGGAACAAGGCTGCCAGCGCAAACACTGTGTGGGAATATGTTCATGCCCCAGTCCACCTTCTCCTTCATGCCCTTCCTGCATTGCACTGACAAGAGGCTCGTCATGGCTTTGAAATAACCAAATTCATCCTCAAGCGCTGAGCATCCTTGCTGCCATAAGCAATCTTTCATAATTTTCCCTTTTATTTAACCTTGGCTTGAGAAGGGAAATGTAATTTGCATATATCTGACTCTAGTGAAATCTTCATTTTTTAGAGGTTGGGGAGAGACTCAATTTGGCAGCAAAAGTCTTTTCCAGAAAGGTCTGAATCAAAATCACAAACTGTAGTTTCCCCATTAACCTGACGTTGAAACAGTTGCAAACATGAAGCATCATCTCATCAGCTTCCACCCAACTGCCCCCCACCTCAAAAAAATCCTAAAGGAATACATCTCTGACATAAAATCTATGCCCCCCGCTGCTAACTTCACAGTCTGACCTACCTCAGAATAACATAAGTAAAAGCCAGAGAAATCTTAATCAAAGAAATCCATACTCCATTATTACTGCAGCAACCGACCAAGAATTTTTCAAACAAATGGGATTTTCCATCTGTTCTACCCTATCTCTCTCTTTCTCCAACCTATAAACTCACTCTAATACTGCCGGTATCCCAGAAAGCCTTACAACAGCGTCCTCTGTGTTTCAGTAACTAATGCTTGAACGGGATCCTTCCCCTGGCTTTGACCCTAGGGTGAACCATGTGATAAGATTCCACAATATATGAAACATAGCATTTCAGCTAGTATAAAATGAGCATGGGAAAGAATGCAATATAGCACTTTAGCTGGGAGGCAAGATAAATTATCCAAGCACCTTATTTTAAGGTAGCCACATGATTTGAAGTTGAGAAGCCTTTACATTTTCTGCACCACAAAACTCATTCCATCTCCTTGCCCTAAAGATGTTATTGACTTCTGTCTGGTGTGGAGGAGGAGAAGGTAATTGCTGTGACCTCTCAAGCATATACACACGGCTTTCAGGATGTGTTGTTGGGATCCAATTTTTAAAAATTTTTATTACGAAGCTTTCCAAAACACCCAGACATAGAGAGATGAGTATAACACCCCCCCATGTACCTATCACCCAGTTTCAACTATTCTGAATGCATTTAGAAAACCTTGTTTCCTTTACAGCTCCACCCACTCCAGGCCCCCAAACTATCCACTGGATTATTTTGAAGCAAATCTCAAACATCAAATCGTTTTATCCATAAATATTTTGGCGTATATCTCTAAAGGAAATTTTAAAAACTCTAACCCACAATAATAGCATAATAGCATACAATTTGATCATAAATATAAACTTGTCCCATAGCTGCTGACCACTTCTCCAGGTCCCCTTTAAGAATGCTACTTCTAGCTAGGCGTGGTGGCTCATGCCTATAATCCCAGCACTTTGGGAGGCCAAGGTGGGTGGATCACCTGAAGTCAGGTGTTTGAGACCAGCATGGCCAACATGGTGAAACCCTGTCTCTACTAAAAATAGAAAAATTAGCTGGGCATGGTGGTGCGTGCCTGTAATCCCAGCTACTCAGGAGGCTGAGGAAGGAGAACCACTTGAACCCAGGAGGTGGAGGTTGCAGTAAGCTGAGATCGCACCATTGCACTGCAGCCTGGACGACAGAGTGAGATTCTGTCTCAAAAAAAAAAAAAAAGAATGCTACTCCCTCTGCCTGGAACATTTCCCCCTGCCCTGGCCCTGGCCCTGACTTCCCCAACTACCTCTTCAGTTTAAGATTATCACTTCCTCAAATACTCTTTCTCTGACCAGTCCAGACTAAGTTATACATGCTCTCCATTCAGGTCGCTTATCCCAAATTTAAACGTAACTAAAGAAGGAATTCTTCAATTAATGTCTTTCCCCATCTCCCTTCCCAGACACAAACTGTACGCTCTTTGAGGACAGGAAGGTTGCCATCTTGTTTTCAAGATTTAGCACAGAGGATAAATAATTGTTGAAATAGTGAAAATAAGTTTCATCTCAGTTTCGAAAAGGCTGGGAGAGATTCTTCTTCAGTAAATTGTTTGCAAGTGTGTATAAATAATTCATATAGTTACTCTTCTTACTGCTGTCCCTTGGATAGTCACCTTCCACACTGACTCTGAGCTTAGCTGTATTCATTCCCTATTGGTCTGTAACAAGTCACTCCCAAATTAAAACAACACACAGTTTCTGAGTTAGAAGCCAGATGTAACTTCAGTAGATCTTCAGCTTCAAAGGCTCCCACAGAGCTGCAATGAAGACATGGGCCAAGGCTGCTTTCTCATCTACAGGTTCGACCAGGGAAGGGTCTGCTTCCAAACTCACTCACTCACAGTTTGTTAGCAAAATTCAGTTCCTCAAAAACCGGTTGTTTTTCACGGTTGTTTGGCTCCCCATGGCCCTTGTCACAGGACAGTCCACACATGGCAGATTGCTTTCGCAGAGTGAGTACGTCTTTAGAAGAGTCAGAGCACCACAATCCTTTTTAACCTACTCTCAGGAGCGATATTCCCACAATCTTGTCAGAGTCTACTCATTAGAAGCAAGTTGCTAGGTCCAGCTCCACACACAAGAAGATTACACGAGGGCAGGAATGCCAGAAGGCGGGAATCGCTGAGAGCCATTGCAGAAGCTGCCTGCTACGCCATGTGACTTGCTTCAGCCAATGAAAGAATAGCGAAGACGGTATAGGAAAGCTTTGCACAGAGCACTCTCATTGAGATTTGCCCTTTCCTTCTGTGTTGGAACCCTGAGACCACCATGTGTACAAGTCTGAGCCAGCCTGCTGAAGGATAAAATGCTTTGTGAAGGAAAATGAGGTGCTCCAGTTGGCGAGCAGCCAGTCAATCCCCAGCCAAGGTTCTGTCAACCACCAGAACGATGAATCGGGCTATGCTAGATGATGCTAGACTCCCCAGCTCGTCACAGAAGTGTGAGAGTCCAGCAGAGACCTGCTGAGCCAGTCCACACCAGGACGACCGCCATGGTCAACCACAGAGTCACAAGCTCCATAAAATGGCTCTTATTTTAGGCTGCTAGGATCTGGGTGGTTTCTTACACAGCAAAAGCTAACTGATACATCCACCAATTCTTTCAGAAGGTTATAGACAAAATAATTGAGGATTCAAGGGCTAAGTGACTCAATGCCATGGTGCAGCAGGCATGGTGGGAAAACCCCTTTAGGACCTAGCATCAGAACAATATAAATAGTTCAAGTCTAAGCTCTGTCATTTTCTGGCTGGAAGACCTTGGCAAATCCTTTATGCTTTCTGTGCTTCAGTTTCTCTATCAACAAAAAAGAGCCCAGAACTTTCTCTAGAACATCTTTTAGTGTTCAAAGTTAAGACCTGTCTGCTTGGTTATAGAGCTGGGAATAGAATTCTTTTGGTTCAGCTGTCATCTGTGAATAGTCCAATATTCCCTCACTATTCGATTGCATATATTGGTCTGATGCTAACATGAGTTGTATATGTGCACACCAACCATTTGGAACACTTTGATAAATCGAGTCATTACAATTCAGTTAC